TGCGGCAAAAAGGAGGTAATAACTACAATGCATACTTGAAAAGCGTTAAGAAAGTTCTTTCCCAAGTACCAGATCACAGTTTGAGCACCTCCACCCTGTTGGAACTGCAAGCCGATCCGCGAGTAAAGCGTCTATATGACACCCACTTCAAAAACAATCCCGATCACATCAGTTACCCGTCTGTGAGAAATGTGATTGCATCCAACATACTCAACTATGATTCCACTACCGATCAAGTTCGCGATTCCGTTTCAGATGTCAGGAAGAAGAGAAAAGCACCTTTAACATCGGTGCCTTTCAATCTACTACAAGATCATGAATTTGACCGATGGATCCTGCAAATCCTGGACAGTTTCCTCCGGCATACAAATATACCGGTAACCTTTTTGAAGAGCAACTATTTCACAAGCCGATCACAACTGCTGCAACTCTACGATGAAGATCGACTGAGGTTCAGGAGTCGGGTGGAAGCGGCTGCGGATGCCCTGAAGACGCAGACGATGAACGACTACACTACTCTGGTCAACGAGACGAATCGCATCTACATGTCCAGGTACCCGTTTGCAGCCATAGCAGGTGCCATGGGAATCAACAAACACGTCGATGGGTTCCTTCGATCAGAACGAAAGATTCAGGAACTAACCACCCTTGTGATAGCTATACCGGGATCACAGCTCAAGTTTCAAGATCTCAACGATATGACTTCCACCTATGGTAGAACAACAGAAGCAAAATTGATCCATCCCGAGCATTTCATGATCAGAGCACAAAAGGTGATGGTGGACGATGCATCATTCATTCAACAGGTGCTGAAGGACAAAAGCAGGATCACTCGTATCATCAAGGATATCCTGAGCGGACGCTCCATGTGATCACGTGCCAAATATTTTCAGGCTATGATCAAGAATGGACTATCCTCTCAGCAGTGCCGATATCAAAGGAAGATTGAATGGTGTCGGAGGGTTCGTGGGCTGCACGAGTTACGACCTCTTGCCACCCTTGAACAATGGAGACTTTTGTATCGTCAACACCGACAACGTTCTACCGGTGTACGATGCAACGGAAGGCGGACATCATTGGTTGACCGTGTGTCGCGAGCAAAACGTGATCCTGGTTTTTGACAGTTTCGGACGCAGTCTATACACTATGGAGCAAGATTACACTGAACCTGCACTGTGCGATTTCTTTAAAGAAGCCTACGCAGACTGTAAGATCATCACCAACACCCAAGCCGTTCAAGACAGAAGCACAGCAGTATGTGGATGGTATGCCATATTGATGGGAAAGCTATTTTCCAAATATGGTCTGGATGAAGCACTTCGAATTTTCCGAAGAGTCTTTGATGATGACGAAAAGCTGGAAAACGATCAACTGGTTCTCAGTTCAGGTGCCCTGGAAGGTGCTGGAGCCTTTTGGGACAACAAAGTGCAAAAGGCAATTCAGGATGGAAGACGGAAGAAGAAGACAGAACCCGCACAGTTCCATACGAAACTGGCTAACGAATTGCACAAGCCCAGACGAGTGCATTTCAAAAGACGCAAGGTGAAGAGCAGAGCAATTGACCATATATGGAGTGCAGATCTCGTGGATATGCAACGGTTTGCCCGAAGCAATAAGAACATCAAATTCCTGCTAACAGTCATCGACTTATACAGCCGCTATGCCTGGGCAATGCCTTTGAAATCGAAGACGGGTACCGCCGTGAGAGATGTGTTCGATAAGATTGTCAGTACATCCGGAAGGACACCGCTAAAACTCTGGGTAGACGAAGGCAAGGAATTCTACAATGCCCCCATGAAACGATGGTTATCACAACACAACGTCATCATGTACAGCACCCATAACGAGGGTAAAGCGGTGGTGGTCGAGCGCTTCAATAGAACGTTGAAGGCAAGAATGTGGCGTCACTTTACAGAGAAATCCACGAACACGTACCTCAATGTCCTACCTCATCTACTAGACCGCTACAACCAGTCAAAGCATAGAAGCATTGGGATGACACCTCACGAAGCATCGAACGGTAGAATACCAAAAGATGCAGATCAACAAGACCCCCTGCAGTCAAAACCCAAGTTCAAAGTGGGTGACGAGGTGCGCCTAACCGTATCTAAGCGTCATTTCGAGAAGGGCTACACTGCGAACTGGACGGAGGAAGTATTCGAGGTGGATGAAATCCTATCAACATCACCACACACCTACAGGATTCGTGATCTGATGGGAGAACACATCATCGGATCGTTTTACGAAGCAGAACTGCAACACGCCAGAGAGACCGGTTTGAGATTCGACAAGGTGTTAAAATACAACAAGGATCAACGTCTTGTGCAATGGAAAGGCTACACAGATAATAAATTCAATACCTGGCTCACAAAGAAGGATGTGAACAGTCTTCGGTCATGATTCACAAAGTCATTCATATTGAAAAATAAAAAATAAATGATTGAGTGCTATGTACAAGCTGATGGCGTTCATGAGAATTATCGCATGAGTATGAGGGGTATACTGCTGGACACTTTCACGAGTGCGTTAGCACGACGAAAAATATAAGGGATACGGTATGTACAGAGTACGAATGGTATAATCCAGTTATCCCATGTACTATTCCAAATAGAGCGCGATCAGCACTAAGACATGTATCGATTATCCCACGAGTACGAGCAAGAGTACATGTACTCTTGGTACGAGGGGTACACCGCTAGATATTTTCATGAGTGCGTCAGCACGATTGAAAATATAATGGGTACGGTATGCACAGAGTACGAATGGTATAATCCATTTATCCCATGTACTATCCCAAATAGAGCGTGATCAGCACTAACATCTCCCTTATTTACTCTGTCGCAAGACCCGGGGAATATTCGTGCTCCGAGCGGGGAATATCGCTCTATTGACAGTTGAGTCCTCTTTCCAAGATTCCTTTTGAATTCCTCTCTACCATCTCTGTATGAGAAGAGACCACGGAATTCCGTATATGTATAGCATCCACCGATCGTGCAGTTCGCTGTGATGTCATTGCACAGTGTATGTATATTATGTGCATGTGTGTGTGTGTGTGTGTTTGTGTGGTACATGATGCATCCTACAATCCACTGTGACGTCAATGCACACTCCATGATGTGCGCATCCATGGTCCGTGTGCCTTACGTATTTCCACCCCTGAAAATATATGAAAATCAAGTACTATGAGAGTAAGAATTATATGAGCAGAAAGCTAGAAAAATCCTCCGTCTCATCGACCTTTCAATAGAAGAAAGGCATTCACATCTCAATCTGATATCATAGTCGAAAGATTCCAAACCCGAACAAAAAAAAGACTCACCATGACGGGGGCGTCTTTCCGCTTTCGAAACACATCGTGTTCTCCAAGGTCGTCACCTCCCCGTGGCGTGACCCCTTGGTCTTGTTTGAGACGTCTAGACGTAGCCTTGTTTACAAAGGTCATCGCGGCGTGAACTTTGACTTCGAGGTGAAGTAGTCTCAACCTGCAGTTTCATTATCGACTCCTTCTTGCAGTGTGAAGAAGCTAAAATGGCGTGGACATTTTCTGAGACGTGCAGAGCAGAGAAATGGTATTTATTTTCATGCGATAATGAAGAGTTCTCAATCCGTCGCCTCAGTGCTAGCAAGACAACCAGGGATCTTGACCCGATGATAGCACATCCCAGAAGATTCGATATGTCACCACTCACTGCTGCTGAGTATATTATCTGCAGGGTCACCAGTCTGATCTTGAATGTGAAGAATAGGAAACAGCACCTTCCTAAAATCGTCATCGGTGGTGTGGAGGACTACGGAACTATTAGTGAGACTGATGATGGTGTCATACTGCGAAGGTGGACTGATGGTAGACACTCATTCTACAAGCTTAGTGACATGCGTGACGAACCGTGCTCTCAACACATCATCGACCTCTTCGCTGATGCAACCTATTTGGATTCCAGCGACGTAATGCAACTTGTCAAGGAGGTGAACGAAAAATGAAGTCTCTCGAGTTGATCGTGTGCGTGTACGACGTAGTACCAAGGCCGTTCAACTCCGTGCCGTTGCAACAAGAGTAACGCGGATTCGTGTGCGAGTTGGTACGATCGACATCGGCGACGATGGATTCATCTCCAAATTACCCGAGTCGACTGTTGACACGATGGCGGTGCAAAGGAGGTCGTCGACTGACAGTTCCATTGCTGACTGGGTGGAACCATTGGTGCACATCAGAGCGTCCGACAACTCCACCTCGTACTGCGTGTCACGGAAGAGATCATGGGTGAATCCATCCTCACACGTATTCGAAGAGTAAACTTTGTGGTCTCTCATCCAATACCAGCTTGATGAAATCAGGACAACAAGAACTGAATTGTACTACCTTTCTCCTCCACTCCATTGCGATATTCACTGTTCGTTCCATTATTCTTTGTAATGACATGTATCGTATCTATCAAGAACTGACCTTTCTGACGTGTGTGCGAGCAGGACCATTTTTGAAAAATTGCATGGGGAGGTGGGGTAGGTCACGGAAAAAACTTCATGATAAACACCATATTCAACATTCTACTTTTTATACCCACTCCCATCCGGGGCAAGGTGGCCCAAAAAAGTGAGATTCAAACCCACATGTGCACAACACATATTTTCAATAATACCCCATTTTTTGGGGTCAGGGCACCCCCTGGCACATATTTTTATCCGCAAAAAAACCGGGCCAAAAATAATTTTCACCGCAAAAATGGGGTACTATTAGTACCCCATTTTTCAATAATACCCCATTTTTTGGGACCCGGGCGCCCCCTGGCACAGAACCCGCTCGTCGCTTCCTACTGATGCGTTGACACCAGTACGCATGTTGTAAATCACTGGTGCAAGGAGCATTGCGTCATAAATAATGACGTCAACTTGAAATTCTGTCGGGACAGCAGGGTATGTGGGAGTTGCACACTCTGGGGGGTTATGTACTCTTGATTGTACATGCAATTCTGTTGATGTCCGTATAACCGCTCTGTGCGCAGGAAGCCAGCGCCCGTACAGCTTTCTGGTAAGCTGCAAGAAGCCAGCCATGGCATGAAGATACGGCACCAAGACGACGTGCCAGCTGAAATGGTGATCGTAAACGCCGAGAGTGTCGGCGGCGGCACCATGACAAAGGGCAACACGTTGGCAAGCACCCCCACGTCCACCACTCAGCTACATCCAAACGACACGCCACCGGCGGTAACAGCGATAGAGATGACGGCGCGCACAGACGGTGGCGACAAGGAGGAGATCACGACAGTCACGGACCTTGCTGTCGCGGCGGGCATGCATTTCCGCCTCAAGGAGAAGATCAGCAACATCGACATGCTGCTTTACCGAATGTTCGAGGAAGAGATACGCTCCGAAACAACAGACGACGCTGACATTTACAGGATGCTGGACTCGGACGAGGAGGATAGCGAGAATGAAGAAGAGGAAGAGGCTCTGGCGTTGAGTTACTATCACAGCCAGATCACCAGTACGTATCGCCGATCGCAGATTGGCCTCGACTCTGTCAGCGGTGCAGCTAATGGTGATCCAGTGGTGCACACAGACTATCAGATATGAGCTGCTGCTGCTGCTGCTGCTCATAGAATAGTCTTTACAACTGCTAGTTCTGCAACGGCCACCAATGCTAAGCTGCTGCCAGCCAAATACCTCCTCTCAATACGATCGTCTAGAGACCGCATGGTCGCCATCAGCAGATTGTTAATAACCAGGTACAATGCTCCACCGTGTACTACTGTATATTATATATACTGTCTTTTTTAATGGTTGATCTTAAAATAACGTTACCTCTACTGAAAACAGAGCCACTGAACTGACGAGGTGTTCCTCATTCGGGGCCTGGCCGGCAGAGTATGTGCGAATGGTACACAGTCATGGAGATTTTAAAATCAGGACAAGAACACAGGACCACTGTGAAAGAAATTTGAGCGAAGCTAAAAAATACAAAACAAAAACAAAAACAGTGGAATTTATAATGGAATGCAGCATTGACGGAAGAATGCATGCACAAAAAGATTGAGTAAACCATGCGTACAGTGCATTCATAGTCAAGACCTGGCTTGATGAAAAAAATAAGGTCCCGACTGAATCCAAAGAATCGAACATGCATATACATATACATGTACATGCATGTGTAATAATAAAACTGACTGAGAAATCTGTCGTGATCGAGTGCAAGTGAAGATCTGGATATATGCCACGGCAATCTTTGAGGTAAGATAAAATTCTGAATGCGTGTGGGAAATTGATTACAGCAGTGAGCACATTGCAAGGACCAGCCTTGCACTACTGCCTTACGTGTTCGCAGAGTAAAATAGTTGATAACCAGTGTGCAGCCTGTGCCAAATATGGACAGATAGGGAGAACCATACAACAAAGAACAATAAAAACAAAATGACCCGCAGACAGGGCCGGGGGACAAGAAAACATGATGAAACGGAGCGAAATATGCTGGGCCCGCAAGAGGATTGTATGCTGAGTTGAGAGTAACATGCCAGGTGGTGGTGGTGGTGGTGGTGGTGGTGTGTGTGTGTGTGTGTGTGTGTGTGTGTGTGCGCGTGCGTGTATGTGTGTGCGCATCCGCAATGGGCGGGTTGGACAGCCCCAAACCAAGACGTGCCTGCGCTTGCTTGTCCGCACACGGTGCTCTTTAGCCGGTCGTGCGCCAAGTCATGATGGCAATGTGATTGGAGTCGCCGTCTGAGGCTGTGCGTTCCTTGGCGTTCTCTCCTTGCTGCTGGAAGGCATTGAGCGGGTCATTGGCAATGCTCGGTAGCTGCTGCAGTGGATCGGCGCTGACCAGAATTCGCTTGCGCTCAATCAGCTCGTCCGCCTCTGCGCCGCGCATATCCAGTGTGCCTATGCCACACGAATACACCACCTCGTAGGTGGATGCTGGCGACGTGCCTGTGAAAGACAAAGAACACGGCGACCATGACAGCGAGGCACGTTGTGGACAGGCACGCGTCAGCAACTAGCATTTCAACCACTCCCAGCACACTGCACCAACATGCAGGGGAAGGAAGTGGGAAGTGGGACATTTAGAGAGGCTAGATCACTCAAACGAAACGAGTCCTACTCGTTCATTCAAGAATCTTGCCTTTGAGGCTTGAGAGGTGGTAGCCACTCATCACGGTTCTTGACCGTATATCTTGGATTGACGCATGTACATGCATGCACTGTGGGATTATAGCTTGGTATCAACATGACATTATGCATGCAGTGTGGGGTTATAACTTGGTATCAACATGACATTATGTATGCAGTGTGGGGTTATAGCTTGGTATCAACATGTACATGCCACCTAACATTCTGCTGACAAACAGCAACGAACCTCGGCCCGGCCTACCACTACCAAGTTGTCTTGTGCAAACGAGGCAAGGATACCTGACTTGTTGGATGAGAGCAGGGAGTAGTAAAGTACCAGTATATCCCTACTCTCTGGATGAGAGCAGGGAGTAGTAAAGTACCAGTATATTGCTACTCCCTGGATGAGACTCACCCTCACAGTAGACTGTAGACTAGTTGAAGAACTCAGGTTTCTCACTCGTCAGTAAATGACCAAACCGCCCTAACGACAGGATACTGACAACTGTGCTGCACTACTAAGTAAGTGATCATACCTCATATCCAAGAAAGACACCAGCAGCAGCAGCAGCAACCGCAGCAGGAGCAAGGCAACAGTCATTCTCACAGCCACTCACCTTGTTTAGGCACTGTGACGGGCGAGAGACCTACGACTGGCCCCATGTGACACCAGTGTGAGACCTTTGCCGACGTGTAGGACACTACACCGCTCTGGCCTTGCCAGGTATCCGCAAAGCTGCTGTCGTCAGCCTGCTTGAGCACACGATGTGTGGCGTGCAGTGGCAGCGACAGCAGCACGCCATTGGAGCAGCCGACCCACAGTGACGTACCGCTCACTGCCATGGATGCCACGCCAAGCAGGGGAGATGGTGTGGAGTCTGGGCAAACACACACACAAACAGACACAGTATCGAAAGAGCTAGAGCAGGGGAAAGGATCTACCGTAAAGTCTTGTATAAAAGCAGCGGCTTCTATGACTTTCTTGGTGAAATTTCGCAGGCTTCTATATGAGACAGGCTTCTATACAACACAGGTATTTCTATGTATGTCAACACTAAAACCAGGCTTATGTGTGATTTGATGGGCCCAAAATTGCGGCTTCTATTCGAGGGCGGCTGCTATTCAAGTGCGGCTTTTATACAAGACTTAACAGTATGCTAAAAGCAGTCTAATTGTTAGACTAACTAGTCGAGGTATGGGCATGCAAGAGGCAAGGCGAAGCTTTGCTTTTCCTCCTAATGTGCAAGTACATGTATCACTAATACTTGAAGTAGTTCTCAATCTGCCCCACAATCTACTAACATGATCAACAGAAGTGCACCAGGTGTTTTGAACTTCTTTATCTCTTTGTGAGAGTTTGGCCAAAAGGTTAGATGAGAAGGGAAGGCAGAAGTACCTGCACATCAGGTGAAGTAAAATTAGCCAATAAATCAGTCAAAGCTTGCCGGCGATGATTGCAGGTCAGCACAATGGGTATAAACACACTGCCACTGGTTCATAATGGCCTCTGCATGTACCGGTACTACACTGTACCGGGGCGCTGTACTGTAGTGGGGTACTACACTGCAGGGGGGGGGGGGGGCACTGTACAGTAGTGGGGTACTACACTGCAGTGGGGGGGGGGGGCACTGTACAGTAGTGGGGTACTACACTGCAGTGGGGGGGGGGGGGGCACTGTACAGTAGTGGGGTACTACACTGCAGTGGGGGGGGCACTGTACAGTAGTGGGGTACTACACTGCAGTGGGGGGGGGGGGGGGGGGGGGCACTGTACAGTAGTGGGGTACTACACTGCAGTGGGGGGGGGGGGGGGGCACTGTACAGTAGTGGGGTACTACACTGCAGGGGGGGGGGGCACTGTACAGTAGTGGGGTAGTGCACTGCAGGGGGGGGGGGGGGGGGTATAGTGTCTGCTCTAGGATTGTAGCACAGCCGGGTACACGTGTACCTGGCGCAACCATTTCAACCGGGTCGGAGCTGGGTTCACCTGTACCTGGTTGGTTGGTTTATTTTAATTCGGACAATAAACGGGAACTAGGCCCAATGATATAAAGGCGAATGGACGAGAGAGCTTGGAAGCTCAGGGCCCTACGCTATGCTTTTATGCTTTTTTGCCTAGCTCATCGTACATGTTATAAGAACTGATGGAAATGTATTTTTCCGTTGATTGGCCACATCACTGTATTGCAAAAACGTTTCAATCGGTTTGAATATTATGAGTTAGGCAAAAGTATTTGCAGAATTTATTGCGGATTGTTATTTCTCTAATAATCATCTACTTTTGGTTTGCTCCTTCTTTTCTTTTTATCTCCTTATACTGTAAATCCACAAATTTTGGCCGATGAGAAATAAAAACCTCTCTATTAGAGAGGTTAAGATGCACGTTATTTCCGACGTGACGCGCAATTTCACGTCAAATTTGAAATCGATCGGTATTTTTGCTCTCACATGCATCCATTGCTCAATCATGCATTATGACAAACTTTGGCCTGCGATTTACTTTGGCCAGTTGGTACCAAGCGGCGAAATCAGCAAAATTAAATCGCCAGCGAAAATTTGTTGATTTTAATACAGTAATCGGATTTTCTGGCCTTTTTCTAGTAATACATGTACATTGACCTGTTGAGCCAATGACGACGCCGAATGCATGGTTGCCTGTGGAGCACATTACATAACTTTACAGTCTCCTTAAATACGTATCCTGTCCGACGGCAAAAGAGGCTGCAGATTTAGTTTTTCTGCGCGTCGACGGGATGTCTGGGAAGCGAAAGTTCAGCTCACGTTATTTGGCTCGCACGTCGAAAAATCAACGGGAGTGACCTGCTGCTCACGTCGAAATTTGGACATTACATAACTTTACAGTCTCCTAAAATACGTATCCTGTCCGACGGCAAAAGAGGCTGCAGATTTAGTTTTTCTGCGCGTCGACGGGATGTCTGTCCTGACGTTTACTGGGACCGGCGCTGACTCTGCCGATCACGGGCGTTCTGGACTCGACGGGATGTCTGTCCTGACGTTTCCTGGGACCGGCTTAGACTCTGCCGATCACGGGCGTTCTGGACTCAACGGGATGTCTGTCCTGACGTTGCCTGGGACCGGCGGACTCTGCCGATCACGGGCGTTCTGGAGTCGACGGGATCTCTCTTCCGACGTTTCCTATGACCGGCGCTGAATCGCTCGTTCGCGCTTATTTTGGAGACGACGGGATCTCTCTTCCAAAGTATGTTTATGCTGACGCATCCTATCACCTATTCGGCGTCTATTCTAATTTAATTTCCTCCTCGTCTCCCTATTTCTTTCCAAATCTCCCTCTACATCAGGGAGTCGTATATATAATACGACGAATATTGGTACGGTACGGGACAGATACAGGAGCCCACAAATATTGTGGACAGCTGTTATGTACAATCCTGTAGAGCCTTTGTAGTCACAGATACGGGACAGATACGGGATAGCTCGAGCCGTGACACAAACAAACAAACAAACAAACACCAAATTAAAGCTGTGTGGACCCTGGCTAGCGCCAGACGTTACTGAAGTAACGTCTTCTGCATAGCTACGGGAATAAGCCGCATTTAGAAAAGAGAGGACAGGACGAAGTAGTGGTTGCGACTTCGGCGATGATTTGTAAGAAAGGGTTTGCTCCCCACACCGGAGCTCGCGCTATTCCGCCGACTTTGGACTTCTCGTGTGCTCTGGATGGCAGTCGTGAGTCAGTCAAGTGTCAAGTAAAGTCGGCGGAATAGCGCGAGCTCCAGTGAGAGGACAGGAAATAGAAAATTACGAAAGAAGAACAAGTATCTGACACATACAAGCCATGTAGTCAGTCCTTTCAAAGTTCGAAAGTGTAAAGTACCAACCGGGTCACAGGTGACCCGGTACTATATTTTCAACCGGGTCCAAGCGCCGCCCAACTGGGTGGATTACCCGGCTCACCCGGCGCTGGAGCAGACACTGGGGTACTGTACAGTAGTGGGGTACTGCACTGAAGCGGGACAATGGATCATGGCACACTCTTTCAGGGTGATGTCGTCCCGACTTACCAACAAGCTGTGCCAAGCCAGGCAGGTCAAAGTCTTGCAGCAGCTGACACGTTGCCGAATGATAGAACAAGATGAACGGTGACAGGTGAGAGCCGAAGATGACGATGTTGCCGACTGAGATCAGCTGTGACACTGGCGGAAACGTAATCCGGAACGATGACTGTAAACAGGTACAAATAACGGAGACGAACATTGCACAATGCACCGACACGATTGCCGATAAGAATTAAACTGTATGTGGTGGTACATTTAGTATAATTACAGAACGCATTACGAGGTATCACTGGTACAGAGTCTGACTGAGCACAGCAAGAGTAGACTATTTCACCACCAATTTAAGGGCCAATCAAATAGGCTGATTGTACGCTTTTCGCCCAGATGCCTTCACAGCCGCGCACTGCGATGTGTACATGTGTATGTGCCGAGAATTCGCTGCCATGTGCCGACCGTGTGACCGTGTTGTGCATGAAAGTTCCGTATTTCGGAAGAGAAGCCATCTCATCATCTCTACGCATTATTATATTGTGCATGTTCCAGTGGACCAGCCAGCAAAGAAAGCTGTGTTTAAAAGCACCGTATGCATGACGGCTTAATGGGCTATGGGGACGGCGGACGCTCACCCCACGCCATCCCACTACTGTACTGACCGCAAACTCACCACAATGCGCAGCGCCAGCGGATCCATGATGACCACGGTTCTGCCGCACGTGCACCACAGCTGCTCGTGCACGCTGGCCATGCACATGGTGTTGGAAGAGCCGTGCCACGAGGACAAGTAGACACGGTCGCCCTCGTCCACGCACTCCAGCGCCGTGCTCTGCCACAGATGAAGGTTCCAGCCGCTCGCATCGTCTAAGCAGTGACAGAAAACACGTGCACAGCGAGTAGCAATAAACTAGTCTTGCCCTATTGTTCTGTGAAAACATGTGCATAGAAACTGAGAGGGAGCCCATGAGTACATCAATAGCTCCCAATGGTTAAACCAGACCCATTTCAAAAATTGAGCAAGTCACCAACAAATAAATTTACTCATGTACTCGAGACAGAAAACACCAGAAAGGCTACTCATTGTTTACATTGCATTGTAAACATGAGCAGTGGTTGCTCAAAGGAGGAGCAGGTTGAACCAGCATCACACTCACCATCCGACTGATCAAACGCTGCTACTGTGCAATCTGATAGGCCGACGAAAACACGATTGAAGGCATTGCTATGAAGACAAAATAACAACAACGACAAGAACAAGAGAAACAACAAGAACAACGGCAGCAAGATCAGATACAGGAAATCAACCCACAGATCAGCCATTAAATAATCACTAAAGGAGACAGCAAGCTAGAAATGATGTGATTCTGTTACCAGTTTGTCATGGTTATGTGGGCACAAGAAGCTACATGTACACCATCACATGTCAGATATAATCACTCCTTCAAGCAGTAGTTATTCATAAATGTCAAGCAGTAGTCAAGTACAATAAGGGCAGTACCTTCATTGGCAGCACACATCATAGTATGCAGTAATCAAACATCGATGTGTTCAAAGCAGGGAGTCGTCAAATACCTGGTATTTGACAACTCCCTGGTTAAAAGTGATGATTTTTTAAACTAGAATTGCCCGCGATCAGGTGACTGGTATGAGTCATATAATAATGACTTACTACACACAAAGGATGGATCCCCTGGACTCCATGTGCAGTCTCTCCAGTAGAGTAGCCTCTGTGTTGTACAGCAGTATTCTGCAGGAAGCAAGAGAGCAGCAGTTAGCAGCCCTGATGTGAGAACAGTTACCTAAACAAAGTGAACATTTTGTCCGTCCTTTATTTAAACAAAGTAACAAAGTTTCCATCTACGGGAGCACCCCAGCCACGATAAGTAAATGACAAACACTAGATGTACTGGAGCAATTATGCATGTAACGCATTACATGACTGGACTCATGAAATGTTTGGCTGACTAAGAAACAAACTAAGTAACTGACCAACTGACCGACTGAATGCCACCCACACCCACACGTACACAAACACACACACACACACACACACACACACACACACACACACACACACACACACACACACATACACACACACACAGAGGCTATGAAAGTATAGTACATGTGCATGTGCATTGTAATTAATCACAACTTACACGCCACCTTCAACACTCAGAGCAATCCACATGGTGGATATCTCTTCAGCGACCGGCACAAACAAGGACGAAGATCCCCTGCGTCTTTGTGAATCATCAACACCACTTTCCTCCATCGCTGCATCATCCCCGTCCCTACCCAGGCCGGTGGAGCTCAGCACATCCCAAGATGTGTTGGACGTCGTAGAGCGCGTTGGTCTCACCGGCCGCTTGGCATTGCTCGGTGGACACGACAGCGGTGACTTGAGGGCAGCAGACACTGAGCTGGCGTCGTCAAATGCACTGTATCTGCTGCCGAGCGCAGGCTTGGCCCCTCGGGGTGTCACCGGTGCACTGCCGGCCGGTGGGTGACGACCAGTGGTGTTTTCGCCGACGCTGACGCTAACGCTGAGACGTCGGTGTCGCCGCGGAGTTCGCACGCTCGAGATGCGCGCCGTCTGAACAAACTTGATGGTGGCGATTGGATAGACGCTATCCTGCGCGTCCAGTGGACAGCTCTTGCCCGTATGCCGTAGCGAGCCCTTCGAGAACACATCAAAGATCTATACGCCAACAGCAGCGAGGCGCGTGTATGCACGCACACACACACACACACACACACACACACACACACACACACACGCACACACACACACACAAACACACATGTGCACACACCATCACCACCAGGCAAGCATCGAAAGTTCGAAACAATCAGCAAGAAAAGCTACATGGAACGCTACAATCGCGATCTGGGCACTTGCCTTGGGCTGTAACTACTCACACAAGTCGTACAAAAGTAGATAATTAATATGTAATAAAGTTTACCGAACAGAAAAGACAAATCCTATTTCATCATTGCAATAATAAATGAACAAGTAAAAAAGTGGTCATGGTGCCCCCCCCCCCCCCCCCCACTCACCTCAATCTGCGACTTGTTCTCATAGGAAGCAACCCAGAGTTGGCGATAGAGCTCGGCCTCCACCGTTGAATCACAGTAATGCTCCAGACTGGACAGAAGATCCTCCTTCTTGCGGTTCGACACGGGCATGGTCGACGATCGGCCATGGCTGAGAGTTGTCGCAAAGCCACAGATCTGTTACAGACACGCACATCACAAGAAGAGATCAAGGTCAGCTCAGCAGTTAGGCTGCACATGCAGCTGAGAGACCAAAGAAAGCTGCGCCAGCAACAGTCCCACGTCATCTACTTGATTTTCAAACTCAGGAGAATGCACGTATGTATATTCATGTGTACTAGTATTCATTTGTGCACGCACACACATACACACACACACACGCACGTGCACGCACACACACACACATACACACGCACCCATGCCAGAAATGAACTTGCAATGGTACAGACACTTGCATAGCTTCGCTTGTAAAGTCGTTGAGAAAGGTTCGTAAGCGTACCGAGTGAAGTCAATCAATGGACATACATACATGTACACACACACACACTCACACACACACACTCACACAAACACACACACGCACTCACACACACACGCGCGCGCGCACGTACACACCGTTGACATGGATGGCACGAGCAGAGCGGTCTGGCCCACACAAGCTGGCAGGAAGCGGAGCACATCCGTTGGCGTGCTCTTGGCTATGTACCAGTCACCGTGCGTCGTCACAACATCCCGCGTCGGAGGACAGCCAACCGTGCATGGAAAGTCTTCACAAGGCAAGAAAGAAAAGCAATGGCTCACACTTAAAACTAATA